TACTTTTCATGCTAACAAGAAAGACTATCTGTTCCTCCACAAGGGCAGATCTGTACTGAAAACTCTGGAGTTGTTAGTTGACCACAGAGTCCTATAAACTTTAAGATGTATTTTATCTTCATAATTAAGGCCAGATGTTTGATTTATAATAAAGTATTAAGTTATACAGTCTACACTTGGTTGAATAAATACTTAAATCACTTTGTTGCTGATACTCTTTGTTGCTGTCTTTATGTGCCATCAAGTCAGAACCGACTCACAGTCCAGCGGCTTTTCAGAGGCGGTCTGTCACATGGGAGATTGCCCCTTCTCCTGCGGAGCAGCTGGATTTGAGCCATTTGCCTTCGGGATTGCAGTGCCATTTCTTACCACTAGGCTCCCAGAGCTCCCTAGATACTTTGTTGTTCTGTGCCACTGAGTCGCCTGAGACGCACAGTGATCCTATGAACATTAACTCTGAAACCTGCCCTATTCTGAGCCAATCTCGTCATCTCCGACAGACCTAATCCTAATGCTCCTGCCACTGAGTCAATCCATTCCATCTTTGGTCTTTCTCTCCTGTGTTGTTGCTTCTATCCTTTCAAGAATGATGTCATTCTCCAAGGACTGGTCCTTCCTGGTCACATACCCAAAACATGTGAGATAGTTCCTCAAAATCCTTGCCTCCAGGGAGCAGCTTGGTTTCATCCTCTACAAGACAGACCTGTTCATTCTCCTGGCAGTCCATGTTATGTTCAACACTCTTCTCTAGCATCACAACTTCAAACCTTCTTCTATCATCCTTATTGTTCAGCTCTCTGACGCAAAGCAAGTAACTGCAAAGACCATAGTCTCAACCAGGAGCACCTTAGTCTCCGGAAAGACATCATTGCTCTTCAGAACTCTAGAGAGGTCCCTGACAGCATACTTTCTTTTGACTTCCTGACTGCTGGTGCAGAGTGCTAATTGTGGACCATTATGAAGCTGCTAATTGGGCCAGTGGTCAGAATCTGTTTTCTTAATGTTGAGCTATAATCCATGTTGAAGACTACAGTCTTTGATCTACCACAACAAATGCTTCATGTCCTCTTCATTTTCAGCAAGCAGGGTTGTGTCACCTGCTTAGGATTCATGTAACTGTGACTGTTTACTTGGACAGAACAGTAAGAGAACTCTACATTCAAGAGCCACAGTTGCAGTTCTAAAATTTTTTTCTTCCAAAAGAAAAATCACAGCAGCATTTGAGTGTGAGTTGAACTGGCCGTATTTTTCCAATCAAGACCACTTTTAATTGAAAAAAAATTACAAAAGCATATTCCTGGCATTTGGCTGAGTATGAGTTCCCTTCAGGAGTACATGTGCCACCTTTAATGCCACTATTCCAACCAGTGGGGCCAAAATAGTCCAATTACTTTAATGAGTCAACATCAGGAAAAAACCACAAATGCTAAATAAAAATATTGAAATATTTCCACTTTAGGAAATTCTGAAGGCTTGCTTAGCTGTAAGGAATTGTGCCTGCCAACTCCTAAATATTTCCACGTAAATCCAAGAGACAGAAAATCCATTTCCCAAGTAAAATGTATTATAAATAGAACATGTAGCACACATAAGAATCTGATTTTTTAAAAAACTGGCAATTTTGTTATCAAATACTTATTCAGGACACTAAGGAGCTCTGATGGCACAGTCCATAGATGCAGAGCTGCTAATCCCAAGACTACTCTTCTATGACAGCTCGAATCCAGCAGCTCCACGGGACAAAGATGGAAAATTTTCCATGTGTTTTCAGTCAGTTCTAACTAGACAGCAATGAATTTGAAGTATTTAATGCCCACAATTTACAAATACTTTGAAATGCTTGTGCATTAAGACAATAAAGAAACAAACAAAAAAAAACCCCAAAAACTGTTACAGGCACGTATCAAGGTACTTCAGCCATAAAATACAGAATGTTATCATCCAATAAGAGTTAATGTAATTGTCAAACATTGTGCCAATAAGCACTGCAAAACGTAATTGCATTTAATCCTCAAAACCACCCTAGAATGTGGTGGAAGTGATTAGGTGCCACTGACCCTCTGAACAACAGACCTGGATCCTATTCTAGCGTGGCATCCACATCATCTCTCACACACCTGAGCTCGTAGCTGTAGTCACTGTGTCAAACTATCTCTCTCACTGGAGGTCTTCCTCTCTTTTGCTGACTCTATCTAAACACAATATCCTTTCCAATGAATAAAAGCCTCTCCTGGCAACTTGTACAAAGTATGAGATGAATCTTCATGATCCTTGCTTTCAAGGAGCATTCTAGCTATACCTTTTCCAAGATCTAGTTGTTCTTTTGTAAGTTCATGGGTTATTCAGCACTCTTTTCCGATACCCTTTGATGCTCAAAGGCATCAATTCCTTTGCTGTAATCCTTATTCACTGTCCAGCTCTCAGATGCATAACAAGTGACTAAAAAGCCCATGGCCTGAATCAGATGCACGTCAGTCTTCAAACTGACGTCACTGCTTTTCAGTATTCTGGAGAGGTTGCTGACAAAGGACTTGCTCAAAGGAATGTTTCTTCATCTCCTGACTGCTCGTACTGAGGGTGTTGATTAAGGATCCAAGGAAGATGAAATCACCGACAGTTCCAAGCACTAGTAATTCCCATATTACAAGATAAGGAAACTAAGCCATGCAAATAGCGTTCATTAAACTACACACACACACACACACACACACACATATATACATACACTTTTTTACCAAATATTCATGCTATGGAAAAATTAGGACTTAAACCTCTAGATAATAGGTTTAAATAAATACATCAGTATTTCAAAAATGAAAAAGAGGGATACTCACCGTTTTTAATTCCATCAAGACTTGTTCATCTACTCCTTCATCCAGAAATATGTCTCTCACATCATTAATAACATCTTCAATCACAGATCTATATAATTTAGGCTTTGGAAGAAAAAAAAGAGACAGCTAAAAAAACCCATTTTTAAAGTTTTCACTAATTCAAAACAAACTAAAGTCCTATTAACTACTTAAAACTCAGAAGATATGACTAAAGATGAAGCCAATTTAATGATCATGTGTCTTTATTGAACAAAAAAAAAAACCCAAAAAACGCTGTTGTCACTGAACAAGATTAAGTAGGAAAAGTAACCAAATTCAGTATCAGAGATCTTGAAGATGGTGCAAGGTTCAGATCTATTCAAAAGGTTACCACTGAGTCACACCTAACACCATGAGTGGCACCTAACAAGAACTTATTTAAACTATTAACACCAATTATTAAGCCAAAAGGCCTCATAGATACAACACCCATACAATTTCAAGTAAAATTTCACTTTAACATAGAATTCCTAGCAGAATATCACCAATAATTTTATTGGTTGCTGTGTCTGATTTCTATTATTCTTTACTTGGTGTGAATCCTGTCTGGAGAATCTATGACTTAAAGTCATTTCTCCGGTAATAATCTGAACCCTGAGGAGAGCACACAACAATGATGAATTTTAAGTACATTAAGTATATTCTTCACGAAGCATATAAATGATAACATAGCATAGTTGTCACATAAACTGAGAAGCCCTCAAAATAGGGATGCTCTGAGTATATGGATCTACTTGATAGTGACTCTACTTGATATTCAAACTTAAAGACTGGTACATTACAGGGCAAGTGGTGGCAACTTCAAGTGATTAATTAGAAGGTCTTTTCCAAAGTGTCAATCCCCCTGGTCTATCTAAAATTATTCCAATTACAGAATTTTTCTGACAGAGGGATCAAGGTTACTTACTGTTAAGTGTAAAATTTTAAACCCACACTGCACGCAACAATAGTAAATAAATTGGATTAATGGTATACTGGATACCATACCTCTAAGGAATGCAATAAAAGCAATTTATTTTCCTACAACTTCTTTTAAACCCAGCTGACGCCTCATTCTCATCTTAAGCTGTTATCCTTAAGTCCTATTGGAAAGCTTTAGTTATTTTTTTTACTTCTCTGAAAAGCCTGTTGTGTTATTAGCAGAAAATATTAAATATTTTTAAAAAAGAGAAAACAATACACTATGAGGAGCTTTACTTCTAAGGTGCCTCCTCAATGTCCTTGCCTCCATCAGCACATCTCCACAAATCGAGTCTCTCTGCAGCTCACACTGAACGCGGGAAGCATTTTTAAATTGCAAACCATTTTATGCACACACCTCCTTCCGACACAAGAAATCCGACCCAAGTTAAATGCTTCACATCCTTTTTTACCCCCCTTTTAAAAAAAAAAAAATCCACGCAAAACATTTGAGTTTTCTAAATCCGGAGTGCTTCCTCCCCGGTAAACAAAGGCGGCTAACCCTCGCTGCTGCACCCGGCCAGCCATCCGGCGCGCTGGGAGCTCACCCCCCCCAAGGACCCCCCGTTAGGGGCGAAATTGACAGGCTCCGAGTCGGGCCCCGGGAACGGCGGGAGCTCCGCACGCGGCCGCCGCTCGCCTCGGGAGCACGCACCTCCCAGCCCCGCTCACTATTTAAAGCCGGATCTGGTGTTTAAATGGAGAGGCGGTGACGTAGGCCTGAAAAGCACCTTCCCATCCTGGCAGAGTCTATATTAGAGAGCGGCAATGGCTCTATATAAACAGGGCAGCCAAAGGGAGGAGGACCACAAGGCTCGGGGACGCAAAGGCAGGCTGGGCGGCCGCAGCCATGATGGATCGGCCCGAGTCGCCAACGGTACGGGGTCGGGCGGCCGCGGGCTGGTCGGCGGCGCTCGGGGACGGGCCGAGAGCGGTGCTTTCAGTGTCACAATAAAAAGGAGCCGGGGTCGGGGGGCCGGAGGGGATGGATGTGACTGCTTTTTGCAAACCTACGTGATCGCGAGGAACCGAAAAGGGGCAAATTGGAAGGCGAAAGCCGGGGCACTTTTGACCACTGTCGGGTTTGGGGTCCGGTATATATATATTGTTTTTTTCTTTTTTTTTTTTTTTTTTTTGGTGCTGTGCTTCTGCTAGTCGGAGATACCGAGGGGTTTTGCTTCCCCTTCGCCATTTTACCGATTCGGAAGGAACTGCGAGAAGTACTTTCTCAACCTTCGTCCTTTTTCCGTCCACATAAAATGGCCCCAGTGAAGGGTCCGAAAGCCTCGCCCCCCGGGAAAACGCGGAGCAGCCCCCCGAACCGGCCAACGGCCACTCGCACGGCACACAAGTGGCCGGAGCGCCGGGTCGGACCGGACCGGGCCGGGCCGGGGGGGGG